TAACTGGGAAGAGGAGCCCAGGAACCATGGGAAGAGCTTGTGCCTTCAGCACCAGGACTTCTGGGTTCATGTGACTTCCTACTTGGCCTCTCGAGTGGCATTTTGGGGAAACGGGCCCACTCTATAGGCATCAGTGCGGTGATAGGCTAATAGCAGGATATGGGTTGGCGGGGGATAGACTCAGTTTATTTTTTTTACAAAGCATCCTGGGTTTCTCCGACAAAAGTTATTAGTAGTGGTTTAGTTGTCTGGAGAATTTTCCTTTGGTCTAGTCTACATCCACGGGAGTAACTCTGTTTGGAAGACAAGCTCCGGGTCTACCTTGTCGTGCCCCCCGCCCCCCCGCCCCCCCCCAGGTGCAATAGTTGCTGAGCTCGTCCTCCTGAACTTGATCCATAAGTGCAGATTCCATAGGTGGAAAGTATGTTTGTGGCCAAGACCTTTGAGGACGCTAGCTGGAGAAGAGAACTGGAGTGAGTTGGGACGTAGGAAGCTCGTTGCCCCCTTGCATGCCGTGTCTCTCTCTCGGCCTGCGATAGCAAAGAGGACACGTGAAGTTCCACTCATCTTCCGACTCCAGGCCTGTTTGAAAGTCATCACACAACCTCATCCCACTTCTCCCTTGTCTTTCCTCATTAGCCAGAGTGCAGTCTACTCATTACCTCCCTTTTTTAGGAGCAGCTTTACTCCTTGGAAGCACTTCCGGAGAGAAATCATATTTCCTTGGTTTTCCCGCTTCTCAGAGCTGGGTGCACACTGCATGAGAACATATTTGCTGAACGCCATCCAAAGCAGCAAATTGAGATTCTTTGATTTGGGGAAGAACTTTGGGAGGAACCTTTCAGTAATTGGCATGAGATAAGAGAGAACCTAGTCCAAGCCCATGTGGGGCTGGCAGCAGGGAGGATCAGTTCAGAGAGAGGTGAGTGTACAGGTTGCTTTCTTTGTCGTCTGTCTGTTTCAGCAGAGGCTCCGGAGCTGGCTTGGGCTGTCTGGCTGGAATCTGCTTAGACTAGCTCCATGGCACTGCAGAGAGAGTTCTCAGCCTGATTCAATATTGACTTAACTATCCTGAGACCACTGCCCTCCCTGCCCCCCTGCTGGTAGCTTGAGAATGCCCTCTCTCCTGATGCCAACCTCCCTTGGAGCTTTGAGTAACCACTTACCTGGTTCCTATTAGGGCTTGAGCCTGCTTGACTGCTTGGGCCTTCGTTTCTACAAGGAAAAAGTAGTACTCAGTCTCCCATCTCTATCATTGAGGTCAAGGGGGAAAGATGAGCTGAGACCTCCTTAAAGCAAGGTTTGAATTAGACCTTAAAACATGAGAAGGAACTTCTCAACAGGAGAACAGGTAGCCTAGAGTGATGTGGAGTCTCTTTTGAAGAGCAGCCTTTTAAAAAATCATTATTAAAGGTATATGTGTACTTGGTAACAAATCCAGTGGTACATGAGAGTTTATGACGAAAAGCAACAGTCCCTTTCCATTCATCTCTTCTACTCCTTTAGAGTTAACCTCTTAATTAGCTCATGTTCACTTCTGAAGGTTATTGCCAGAGCATTAGATAAAATGCTTGTGTCTCTATTTCTTGATTTATTAGTTGTTACAAAGAGGATTAAACTCTAGGATTTATACCTCTTGTCTATATGATTATGTCATTTTCATTTAAGGAAGTGATTATGTCATTTTTTAATTTCATTATTAAGGAAACCTTAAATAACATATTTGAACCTCCCTTTCTTTTCCATTAACAATTTTTAAAGAATTCTTATGAGTTTGAGCCAAACTGATGACATACACTGGGGAGCAAGATATCAGATGCTCCCTCTTTTCCATTAACTTTTTAAAAAATGTTTTTAATGATTTTAGAGGTGGAGGAAGGGAGAGAGAGAGAGAAATAGAAATAGAAAGGTTGTTGCTCATCCACTGAGCCACGCCGGCTGGGCTCCATTAACTCTAACAGGCTCTCTTAACTACCCATCTTGTGGGATGAAGATACTGGCTCTGCTTTCCCTTTTTCCAATTCATATGATCCATCTCAAAGGAGGAGGGAAGTTGATCTCACCTATCTGTTTGGAGACAGAGCACGAAATCAGATGATCTTTTAAAGGCCATTCTATGAAAATACAGGGACATATAAAAACATGGGGATTGTTCTGAACCAATTCATATTTATTTAGCCCATGGAAACATATTTGAAGAAGGGAATGGTGATGAACTGGGTGAGGGGATGGATTCAGGGCTCTTTACCATCCTGTCCTAGCAGAGACCAGTTCAGTAAATCCTTTAATGGAGGCCAATGGAGGGTTGTTTGCATAGAATCTTTTGAGGTGAAGAGAAGTGGAAAGCCAAGTTAAGTGATAACACTCCCTCACCCCAGGGTCCTCTGGAGACATTTACTTAAATGCTCAGTCACACAGAACACATGCCTGTAACCCCTCTGCCCTCTACCGCTGCTCTGCTCTGAAAAACCCTCTGATGCTCAGATGAGGATTCCCGACATTGCCCAGACTTAGCCGTTCACTCGCCTTTCCTAGAAGCCAGCTGCTAGGCGGGGTAGGGGAGGCCTCTTCGATTCCCTTCCAGTCTCATGGGAAGGCCAGATCAGGCACCTAGTGCAACATGTGGAGCCTCCTGCGTCTGAATGTCATTGAGAGCCAGGGGAGCCCTTTGATATGAAAGGTTTGGGTTTTCTTCTCTCAGTTTTTACTTATTCTCTGTCTTGTAAGGAGAAGGGTGCTGATTGCAGGACCCGTTTCTTCCTTTTTCCTTTCACTTTCTAGTCCTTTCACTTTAGAATGGTTACTTATCAATGCTGTTTTTTCTTTGCATTTGAAAGTGAAAGAATTGATATTGAGGACCATGTCTGGATTTAGATTTTAGAAAACACCTTTCCTATTTTTAAAAGTCTACATTTAACAAAAACAACCTACATTCCCTTCAGGACTTCCTCCCCCCATGTTTGCTTCGGATGCAGGCTCAGAGAGGCCAGGAGGGAGGCCCAGCTTGGCAGTTTCCAGTGCAGAGCTGCTTCTATAGGAGAGAAGTCTGGTTTTCCTGCACCTCTTGACATCATCTGGTTCCTTGGGGAGTAAGAGCTGCCAAATGGGGTTTCTGTTCAGTGGGAAGGTCCCCTGAATACTGTCATAGGGGATTCCTAGCTGAGTCCCAGGGTGAAAGAAATGATGTTATCCTTACCTCTTTTACTGGTGCCAGTAATAACCCCCACTGTGATCAATTGGAGCAGACAACTACTGCATTTCCTAGTGAGATCTGAGACGCTGTGTGTGGGAGAATGTCTTAACCTCATTTTCTTTGGAAGTTTGGAAAAGTGGACCTTATGAGGTGTTGGTGACTTGAAAGTCTCTGGAGTAGAGAAAAGGGGAAAGATGTGCCAAGCATAGAGAGATTGAGAAGCAAAAGGGCTGTTTGCGTAAAACAACTGAAGCTGTCATGTGAGTTTCTAAGTAGACCTAAAAGGTAGTGGTCCCAGTTGAATTAGAATGACCTTCTGGTGCAGAATGCCCTATAGAGGTGTGGCAGGGGATGATTAAAGCTTTCTTATTATTATTCCTGTGCAACCGTAGTTGCGAGTAGAGACAGATCCATGCAGGCAGCCATGCTGGTTCTACTGCTCAGAAGGCACTGCATAATTTGGGGAGAGTATAGTGAAAGAGTTGCCACTTATTTTACCAATGACAAACTCAGACTGCATCAGGATATTAAATTTGGAGGTGAACTTCTTACTTGACAGAGTTGGGAGAAAAATAAACTGAAGTAGCCTTTTTTGGTGGTCTCTGAGAACAGAAGAGTTCCCTCTCTGCCTTCCCGTGAGATTTTAATGCTGATTGCTGGGAGGCAGGGAGGGAGACTGCATAATATTGGGCAGATGAAAGTAACCTTGACTCTTCACATGTTAGAGGTGTAGGAAGGGGCAGTGGAAAATGGGGCTTTCCAGAGTGACTAGTGCATCTGTATCTGGAGCCTCCTTCCACCTCCACAAAGTATTTGCACCCAGGTTCACTAGGGTCAAAGGTGATGCCACTATTAGTTGTAAATTACCTGCACTCCAGCTCTACAGCAGCCTCTGCCTTTCTGTTGCCCATATCCTTGAGCATGTTTTAGATTCACTCTGTCTGCATTTTTGTGAGGAGGCCTCTGAGCTGACTACAGTCATACTCTTGAGCTGGGTTAATCTGACATTAACAGCGTGCCTCTCCCAGTCCTTACTTTGAAATTTCTTTCTGTTCTGCACTGACTCTCCTGATCTGGATTTGGTGAGCCTCTGGAGAATCATGTTAGGAAGGCAATGGCTTTTGTCAGCAGTGTTCTCTCGCTGAAATTCCTCCCAAGACTCCCTCCAGAGAGAGATTCCTGGTTGTGTAATTCCTATTCCCCCTGTTCTTTAGATGTTCTAGACCCATGAGTTCCAGCCTAATTTCTTTTCCTTTTTTTTTTTTTCTCCACAGCCCCTCCAGTTCTTGGAGTGTGTATATGATAATGGGGAAAGTAGTGTTGGGATAGCAGAGGGCTGTCATAAATGTTTTGGAAGATTTTCAAACAACGAGGTAACTGTAATTCACTTCCCTTATAATAAACAGTATATGCGTGTGCGCGCACACAGGTTCACACACACTGTTTACTAAGCTTTTCAGTAATTAGCATTCAGCTAGCATTTATTGAGTGCTGCTTTGTGCCAGGGACTATGCTCGATCTTTTTACATGCATGAAGTTAATTATTCTGCGTGGCAACAGTGAGGTATAGATATGTTTTTCCCATTTTTGCAGTCGAGGAAACGGAAACTCAGAAGCCACATGACTTGCATAAGTTCATACATTTCATAATGGCAGACTTTTTAACTCCAGCCTACTTGACCCCACGTTCAGACTCTTTCCGCTATGCTTTAGCTGTCACAGCCCTGGAGAAAGAGGAAGTGACATCATGAAGTCAGACAAATGGCACGACTTCAGCAGGGTGGTTGATAGTTGTTTTAGAGGTATTTATTTCTACATGAAGCTTGGCCTGGTATTGCTTGCCCTTATTCCACGGGAACTTTGATTCTAAAAGGAAAGGTAAAAATGTATCAATAACTAGAAAAATACATCAAGACTTTAATACTAAATAAAGGTGAGATACCCAGGACCTGTGTATGGAGTGTTAATGAGTAAGGAAATGCAGTTCAAAGAGGAAAAGAAAACGGTTATGGGCGGGCATTTAAAAAGAGACGTGGGAAGAGCACAAAGATAGAATAGGGAAAAAGGAGTAAGACCAGAATTGCTTTTCAACCTAGCTGAAGAACTTGTAACCCTGTATAAACAGAACACATAATAAAGCAACATTTTATAAATACAAGTTAGGAACAGAGCCCAAGCTGAGTAAGTAAATTCAGAAGGAATGAAGGGGAAAGCCGTGATCAGAGGGGAGGTGGTCAGGGAAAGCTTCTTGGCGGGAGATGACTTTTCATCTGTTTTTGAAGGAGTCCAGATAGACAGAAAGAGAAGAGGTGCCTAGGAAGGTTTCATGGCAAAGGGAAGACCTGAGGATGGCACCACTAACCTATATGTTTATGTGTCTCCCTTTCTGTTCTTTTCTCCTCTTCCCTCCTGTAGCTTGGAAGCTCGAAGTCTGGCTGTGGCCATGGGAGACACGGTAGTGGAACCTGCCACCCTGAAGCCAACTTCTGAGCCCACTCCTGGTCCATCAGGGAATAACGGGGGCTCCTTGCTAAGCGTCATCACGGAGGGGGTCGGGGAACTATCAGTGATTGACCCCGAAGTGGCCCAAAAGGCCTGCCAGGAGGTGCTAGAGAAGGTCAAGCTTTTGCATGGAGGCGTGGCCGTTTCTAGCAGAGGCTCTCCACTGGAGGTGGTCAATGGGGATGGTGTGGACAGTGAGATCCGCTGCCTGGACGATCCTCCTGCCCAGATAAGAGAGGAGGAAGATGAGATGGGGGTCACTGTGGCCTCGGGCACAGCCAAGGGAGCAAGAAGGCGGCGGCAGAACAACTCAGCCAAACAGTCTTGGCTGCTGAGACTGTTTGAGTCAAAACTATTTGACATCTCCATGGCCATTTCATACCTGTATAACTCCAAGGAGCCGGGAGTGCAAGCCTACATCGGCAATCGGCTCTTCTGCTTTCGCAATGAGGACGTGGACTTCTATCTGCCCCAGTTGCTTAACATGTACATCCACATGGATGAGGACGTAGGTGACGCCATCAAGCCCTACATAGTCCACCGATGCCGCCAGAGCATTAACTTTTCCCTACAGTGTGCCCTGTTGCTCGGGGCCTACTCTTCAGACATGCACATTTCCACTCAACGACACTCCCGTGGGACCAAGCTACGGAAGCTGATCCTCTCAGATGAGCTGAAGCCAGCTCACCGAAAGAGGGAGCTGCCCTCCTTGAGCCCAGCCCCTGACACAGGGCTGTCTCCCTCTAAAAGGACTCACCAGCGCTCTAAGTCAGATGCCACCGCCAGTATAAGTCTCAGCAGCAACCTGAAACGAACAGCCAGCAACCCCAAAGTGGAGAATGAGGATGAGGTAAAATCCCTGGGAGGGACAGGGACAAGGTGGCATGGAGACAGGATGTCTGACATAGGGTCACTCTGTCCTTTTCTTTCCTTCCATCTGTTTCATTTCACTGATAAAAGCATGGAATGTTAGAATGGAAAAAAACCTTAGAATTCATGTATTCCAGCTGCCTCATTTTACAAAGGAAGAACTCAGAGACCCAGAGAGATAAAGTGACCTGTCTCAGGTCATAGAGCTAAAAGCAAGGCTGGTACACCTGACTCTGCCAATGTTGTTTTTACTAAACCGCACTGCCATTCCATTAACTCCTTACCTTCTGAGAACTGTGGCAGAGACCCTCCCACCCTGACTTGAGACCTGGGATATCTACCAGAACCTCTCAGAGCAGCAACCATGGGGAGGAGAAGGGACTATATGTGTGAATTTTGTGTGTGCTGGGGAAGGGGAGATATGAACCTCAGCCTCATTCTCCTGACCACTCCTCTTCATAATCCCTTCCTCCCACTCCCTGAAGATCCTGCTTTTTGTTTTCATAAGGGTAAGGTTCATTCCCTGTCACTGAGGCATCTGCAGAATGCCTGCTACCTGCCTTTTTTTAGGGGAAGGGATGTTGGTTGAACTTTCCCAAATCACTTAGGAGAAGCACAAAGAAAGCAGGAAGCCATCTTGGTATAGAGTGAATCACGGACATACCCAGTGTCTGGAAAGAAGACTGAGCCACAGCAGTCGTAGATGTCCGTTTAGGATGCAGAGCAGGGAAGAGATAAGCCCGTCAGTAGGTTATACTCACCTTCCATTCCACATCTGGACAGATACAGGGGAAGTTGCCCAGTGGACAACCAAGTGTCAGTGACCTGGTATCCCAGCCAGACAATGGTGCCCCAGTTCCCCCCTCTGACTCACCACCAGCCTAGCTCCCATCCTGGCTACCAGCCCAGCATAGAAAAGAAGGGAGAAAAGAATGAGGAATTTGCAGTTGTTGGGAAATGCATATAGCCATGGTGTTGGCATCTGCCTTTGTGGGACACATAACCCACCCACAGTTTTGATACAGTGGGACTTCTTTCAGCAAGAAGGAGGTCATAGTGACTAGGAAAGGGAAAGCACAGGAGGAAGGAGACTATAGAGCTTGCTTTCTCTGGAAACTCAGTATTTTATTATGATCATTTAATAACAGGCTAAAAGAGCTAACATTTATTGAGCACTTACTATGTGCATCATGTGAAGTATTGTACATTTAATCCTCACAACCACCCTAGCAGACAGATTTTTTTTTATTTTTTACCATTGAGTCAACAGGCTCAGAGAGGCTAGACGATTTGCCCAAGGTCTCTCAACTAGTGTCTGTCAGACTAGACCTCACATCACAGCTGGTCCTCCTAATCATTCAGCTGACCTGTCTTGGTTATTTCTCAGCGTCTGCTTTCCTGGGTTTTCAGCTGTCAGAGTCCATTTGGGGAAGAACAGCCGAGGCCTTAGCCATCTAGGTTTCCACATCCGTGCATGGGCAGAGCCCACCTGTTCTCAACTAAAAAGGACCGTTTTAATTTCTGGTTGTACTTGGCAGGGAAGCCCAAGGCCACAAAGGGGGCTGTTACAAAGCAAGAAGAATCTTCCAGATCTGGAGAGACTAGGGTCATAAAAGGTTTGGGATTCTTCCTCTTGGGGTCAAGTCTGTAGCAGTAGGAGTGTGAGCACTTGGAAGTGAACCCCAGGTGCCTCTTGCCAGGCTTGCCTTTTCTCTATGTGTTTTGTCCTCATCTTAGCATCAGAAAGGGTGAAGCCTCAGGGCTTTTCTTCCTCTGTGCTAATCCTTAGTCCCTCTTCCTGGCATCTGACCCCTGCTCAGGGGAGATTATGGGCAGCACACTGAGATCAGGTCTTTTGTGAGAGCCTAAGTCCTCTCGTGTGGCCTCGCCAGCTGCCATTCTTCCCAGCCTGGCTTCTTTGTGGTGGAACACCAGATCTAGGAAAGGAAGGAGATAGTACATCCCAGCCTCCTAGGTTATCTGATGCTGGCAGAATGAGACACCGAATCCACTGCAGCTCCTCAGGAGATGTGCGAGTGAAAGTGAGAGAGAATAAACATGAATGTCACTAGGAGTCTAAGCATTGGAATCTTCACAGAGGTCTCTCCACATGCCTTTGGCATTTTGAGGATACATCTGTCATCAAGACCTTTGTCCCCCAAATACCAATACTTCTCCTTCTCCCCTGTCGTGCAACATTTATTCACTCAACAAATAGTTATTGAGCTTGTACACTGTGTAAAGCCCTGTGCTGGAGGCAGTGGAGGATGGAAGATAAAATGCTGTCTTTCTCTCCAGGAACTTATACAGTAATATGGAGACCCCATTATCTAGGGCACTGTTTAGTTTGTGACTCTTGATTTTGTATCCTGAATCTTTACTGAATTTATTAGTTTGAACAGTTTTTTGGTGGAGTTTCTGATTCTTGAAAAGTTGTTTCCTACATATACGGAAGCCGTACACAGCTTACTAACACTAGGCGCATAACTATATAAGGTCTGAACAGAGACTCTAGATCAGTGTTTCTCAACCTTCTGGCCCTTTAAATACAGTTCCTCATGTTGTGACCCAACCATAAAATTATTTTCGTTGCTACTTCATAACTGTAATGTTGTTACTGTTATGAATCATAATGTAAATATCTGATATGCAGGATGTATTTTCAGGGGTCGCGACCCACAGGTTGAGAACCGCTGCTAGAAGGAGACCTGACTGCTCCCATCCCTTGCTTTCCCCATAGGTTCTGAGTTTAACCCTATGCTCCTGCCAGCAGGAGAGGTGCTCTGGAGGGTGAGGCCTGAGAAGGCTGCTTCTCTTCTGCACTGATCTCACAGAGACTCCTGTTTTCTTTCAAGGAGGGATCCTTGACACTCTCCCCGACACTCGGCACTCTAGCACTGCTTCCTCCCCTCGCCCGTCCCCAAAGCCCACCTCTTCCAAGCAGTTGTTACCAGCCTAGTCAGGGAACTGGGCTTAGGCAGTTTCCCTTCCCATTTATAACCAAATGGTAAATCATTTGGCATAGGGAGGGGCCGAGTTTTGTCCTACCCCACACCCTGCCCCACATAATGACTCGCTAGTGGATCAGCTTTGTCTTTCCAGAACTGCAACCTTTGTACAGAGAAATCTGCTGCATGTCACACTGAAAGCCCCAGTGGGCCTTCCAGCCCGATAAGGTGCGGTATCAGCTTCTTGGACGCAGCTTTTCTCCTTGGAGCTGACTCAGTATGAGTGACTCAAGTGTACAGAGTAGGAGAGAGGAGTCGATCATGATATACCTCCCTTCCCCCAAGGCTGTTAATGAGTCAGACAGGGCCTGTCTGTGGGAGAATCAGCTGGATCGTTGTTCATGGAGCCAGTATCCTCCTCCCTGCTATTACTTCCCCACCAGTGCATGGGTAGAAGTTGAACCACTAAGTCATAATAGACCGGTATCCTCACTGCCTCAGACCTCCTGCTTTGGGAGTGTTTGGCTTGGCTTCTCCCTCACAGTGCCTCTCTCCCCAGATTCTTCAAGGAACGGCCTGACTACAGGACCCCCAGCCAGAATAGAACGTATTATACCATGGCATTGGATTAAGTAGATGCTTGAAATGCTAATTGCAGAGTAAAAGCTCAGTGACCACTGCCCTTCTGCCCTGAGAGCTCCCAGGACTTTGTCTCTTAAGTCCAGGGCCCTCCCCTAACTGCAGGTTGTGCACAAATATTGCCCCTTCTCCCTGCTTTGGGGGAGCTTGTGGCACAGAACCCAGGATGGGCCTGTGCATGAGCTGTAGCAGAGCCACTGAATGAGAGCTGGGCCCTTTCCCCTGTTTTGCTCATGGATCCCAGTAAGACAGGCAAGGTTTAGGTAAACACCCTAGGCTGGGACCAGGACAGCTGCTGCTCAGCTGCTCCGCTTTCTCAGATGGAGTAAGGCAGGACCTCGCTCCCAACTTACAACAGCAAACTGTAGTTGGTTGTCACGTGAAATAGCCTGATAGCAAGCCTGTGGAGGTCTGGTAGATAGGAAGGGTATTCATCCTTTACTCCAGCAGCATCTAGCCCAGAGGTTTCATGCTCATGGGTCTGTGATACCCCTTGTCACATAATTCAAGGTTGGGAGGAGGCTTCCCAGGGTGATACTGAGGCTGATTAGAGAGGAGATACACCTGGCACTAAAAGTTTAGCTTTTCTGCTTCCTCCTTGATGTTTCCAAGAAGCTAGAGGAACACAGGATTTCCAGTGTGGGCAGTAAGGGGCCATGCAGCTTGTTCAATTCAGTCCCTCTGTGTGGCCTCCACAGAGAAGGGTTTGGTTGAGAGCAGGGTTACCTCAGCTTTAGGGTTTTGTCCTGGGAGGAAAGTTCCTGCAGGCAAGAAGGGAAGGGAAGAAAGTGAAAAACAGAGGCCATTGTCTCTTCAACCCTCTGACCCCAGGTCTGAGCTAGCCTTCCCGCATCTCCCTCAGTGCCATAACTCTGGGCCGGTGGCATTTCTGGGTTGACTTTCTTTCATTAAAGCAGAAAGGTAGAGCTACACAAGAGAAGCAGGTATGATCCAAGTTGGACCTAAATTCTTTGCCTTTGTCTCTCTCCCCTCCCTCCCTGCCCCTTTCTTCTCCCCTTGCCCTCGGCCCTTTCCCAGGAGCTCTCCTCCAGCACCGAGAGTATTGATAACTCATTCAGTTCCGTAAGTGGGGCCAGGCTGGGACTGGGTGGCAGGCTCCCCCCATGGCCGCATTTCCTCTCCGTCCCCAGGTCTAAGTCCCCAGGCCAAGGCTGGCGTGAAAAGGTGCCTTTTCTTCCTGGGAGATCAGCTCCTCCTTCCCAGGCCTCCCAGGCCTGGAGGAGTCCCCTGCCTGTCGCCAGTGCCCTGAGCCCAGGCTCAGTGGAGCTCAGTGATCCTTTTCCCAGGGACAGCTGGGATGCAGTGTGACTTAGCCCCCAGCTCCTGGGTCTCTAGATCAAACAGCTGGGAGAGAGGTAGAATTTACCCCTGGATTGATGCCAACAACTGCTTGGCAGAAACCCCCAGGATCCTGTTTCCCACCCAGGACCCTTTCCCCATGGCTTCTGCCATCAGACCATCAAATATTTATTCAGTGTTTTCTAAATGCTAGGCCCTGTGCTGGGTGAGCTGATTCCAAAAGCAAACAGGATTTGGTCTGAAGGAAAGTTTTACCTCCTCAGTCTTTTTCTTTTTAGCTTCAACCACATTTCTTCCAGGTCTGAGTTCTCCCCTTTCCCAGCTCCCTGCCCAGGATGTTCCTTAATCACTATTCTCCTTCCTTGTTGCCTCTGGAATAACTCCTGACCTTCTGGTCCTACAGGGTCTTGGACCTTGTTCCTGGGCAGAGACGTGAGAGGAAATGCTGGACCCTCTGGGAGTTTGGATGATTTTTTTTAAAACATTTTGTTTTTGATTTGTCTACCCAATCAGTTTTCTCTGTTCTGTGCTGATCCCCTTTCAATCATGATTCCTATCTCCTCCCACGTGGCAGAGCCTGTATTTGGAGGCCTGGGGTCACATTTCAAACATGCTCATGTGACGTAGGGGCCCCCAACCCAAATGCTGGTTTGAAGCTGGGAAGGAATTCTGTCTCTTTAATCTGAAATGATTATGAATTGGTCGGGGTGGAGGATCCTTGGAACAGTGACCATTTGCCACCTGAGTGGGTCACTAGGGGATCAGAATGAATGAAGAAGCAAGTCTTCTTCCTTTCTTTCTCTTTCTCTGTTAGGCCCCTGGAATAGTTCCAGGGACCACAGAAGCCTCGTTCTATTGTCTTCCTGAATCTCTCTTCAACCCTGCCTCACAAAGCATTCGTGACTGATCCAGACACCCTGTCGCATTATGTGGGGCCCCAGAGCCAGCCCCTTGCGGGGCAGAGGCTGAGAGATGAGCTGTTCCTTTGAACCTGGCTCTGCACACGTGCAGAGGTGGGCCTGGTCCTGCTCAGCTTTCAAAAGAAGCTCTTTTCTGCATTTGAGGGAGTGAGGGTAGACATTCTCAATCAGGAAACTAAGCAAGACACAGAGAGGGAGAGAAAAGTCTGGTGAGTGAAATACTGTTTCTGTGAACAGAGGAGATACTGTTCTTATCTAGCTGAGGGGAGACGAGGTTGGGAGCTGGGTGGCTACTTGATAAAATGCCCTTACGGTAGGAGGACTTAGGGAAGAGAGCCCCTCTTCATGTCTAGCTTAGTCCACCCCACCTCACCCCCCAGACTGACTGCCCTTTCTGGGAATGACTGAAGTGCTCGCATGCGGAGCCAAGCTCACAACAGGGAGCAAATCTGGGGACCCTGGTCCTGAGAAGTAGGGGAAGAGGACCCAAGGAGGAATCACAGAAAAGAGGCAGGCCTTCAGGGCCATTGAGGAGTGAAGGGAGCTATTGCTTTCCCCACCTACCTGCCCACACCAGTCTCCCTCCATCTGCTTTTTCTTTCCACATTGATCATCCCCTAATCCCAAGTCTGCTCATCCTCTTCTCATCCCCTGCATGCGCATTGACCTCCTGTAAGAAATCGTGGGGTGGGCGGGGATGCCATGTAAAGCAACAGAAGTCATTTGAATGGAGTGAGTCCGCCTTTGAAAGGGGAGCTATTGACTTGGAGCTCCCCTCCCTAGCCTTGTGGGCTGAGGCTCTGCCAGGGATCCAGGTGGGGAGAGGGACACCCTCATTCTCAAGGTGGGTGAAGCACTTTAGGTATAAGCAGCTCTTCGCTCTGGAGTCCCGTAACCCCCACCCATCTTGAAGCCTTGGGACAGTTCCTGAGGAACTCGGGTCCAGAGAGGAGTGCATCCCAGAGACCTGATTCACACTCCTTTACCCTCAGTCAACAGCTTGTGGAAAGGAATGTGCTGGCTCTTTTACCTGTTCCCAACTCAGTTTGCCAGGGGTGGGTGGAATCTACTAGGCTGAGAGGTAGCTCCTTCCCTGGGGTTCTCCAGACAGATCCCTGGCCTGCACGGCCAGGAGTGACTGAGTGGGAGGGCCACTTTTTGCTATGGTTTCTTTACCGTCTTTTACTTCACCCCATCCCTCTATAGCCTGTCAGACTAGCTCCTGAGCGAGAATTCATCAAGTCCTTGATGGCGATCGGCAAGCGGTTGGCCACGCTCCCCACTAAGGAGCAGAAAACACAGCGGCTGATCTCAGAGCTCTCCCTGCTTAACCATAAGCTCCCTGCCCGAGTCTGGCTGCCCACTGCTGGCTTTGACCACCACGTGGTCCGCGTGCCCCACACCCAGGCTGTTGTCCTCAACTCCAAGGACAAGGTAGGTGGGCTCCACTTCATGGTTGTTCAGGGTTTGTGTCTATGCCTAGAGATGCCCGACCAGCATCCTAGACTCCTTCCTGGTTCGTGTGCACGTGTCCACCTTAACTTTACTCGTGGGTGTGATTCTGAGGCCTTGTTCCCTGCTTGGGCTTTGTTTCTCTGGAACACAGAGGCCTGGTCTCTCCAGCTCACCTCTTGCCATGTCTCAGGAGAGTCACTCTCCACCTCTCTGTAGCCCTCTGTAACTCATTGGCTTTCCAGATATAGCAACATAAGAATAGAGAAATATTTTGTGTCTAAGACTTTTTCTGAACAGAGTGGGCAAGGAGAAGGAGAGATTATGCCTTATTCACATTGGAGAGAATTTGCTAAGTTTATCTGCTGGTTGAAATAGTATTAAAGGTTCAGGTTTTTCTTTTAGAAGTAGTGAAGATAGAGCCCTGCTTGACACAGTGCCCCGCTCTTTCCCGGTCTTTGTGTCTTTAGGACAAGCCCCGAGAGGCTTCCACGCCTCTGATGGGTTGTAACTGATAGTTTGGAATGGTTTGCCCAACTGCATCATCTACACATTTTGAAACTCAGCTGAACCATTTTGAAGACTTGGGTGCACTCTCTCACCCAAATTCTTTATATAGGTGTTCATAGGACAAGTTCCTCCCCAATATGGCATTCATAGTGTCAGGGGACTGATGATTGCGGGTTGAAGCTAGGAGGGGCAGCAGGAAGAACTGTGTTAACAGAGTTGCGATTTGGGGGACAGTGGTGCAGGTGAATTGCAAATACTGTTCTCACTTTCTCCCAGGCTCCCTACCTGATCTATGTGGAAGTCCTTGAATGTGAAAACTTCGACACCACCAATGTCCCTGCCCGGATCCCTGAGAACCGAATCCGGAGCACACGGTCCGTAGAGAACCTGCCCGAATGCGGTATCACCCATGAGCAGCGGGCAGGCAGCTTTAGTACTGTGCCCAACTATGACAACGATGATGAGGCCTGGTCCGTGGACGACATAGGCGAGCTGCAGGTGGAGGTGAGGGAACTCACAGAGGTAATACTGGGGCACAACACCTATTCTCCAGGAGCTTCTGGTGCATTTGAGACAAGACAACACCCTGAGGCAGGCGCACAAATGAGGGGCAGGTAGTGTTGGGTATGAAAGGGGAAAGCTCTGAACAGCTCTAGTCTGGAATAGATTCAGGTAGAGCTCATTTTCCAGCAGGAATGTAGGTTAAATGTAAGGAGGAACTTCTAAGGTGAGGAAAGAGAGAGAAATTTAATCAAAATATTTATTGAACACCTGCTATATAAACTTGTTTTAGAAAAGCAGAGAATGGTAAATTATACATTCGTCCACTCACTGAAGAACTGTTTATGGAGGGCCTTCTTTGTGCCAGCCCTGAGTGCCGTGTGCTAGTGAACAAGACCTGGCCCCTGCCTGCAAGGAGCTTCTGACCTAACGAGAGAGTAGAAGACTGGCCAGGAGTGTGGTGTGATCCAGGTTATGCTGGAGAGGATGGGGAATTATGAGAGCCCTTGATGGTGGGGGTAGCACTTACTCCAGACTTGGGGTTGGACACACCTCAAAAGATTTCCTCAAGGAAGTAATATCTCAGTTGAGGCCTAAAGATGGGTTTGAATTACCTATTCAGGCGGAGGGGTTAGCACATGCAATGACTGGAAGACGAGAGAGCTTGGCTCGTCTTAGGACCTGGAAGAAATTTTGTATGAGGCTAGAGAGGCCAGCATGGGCCAGATTGGAGGCAGGATCCTGTAAGCTGTGGGAAGAAACTTACACTTTATTCTGGGGTTGTACGGAGCCAGGGAAGGATTTTATGTAGGGTTGTGACACAACTTTGGGGAAAGACAGACTGTCCTTGAGCTTACAGTCCAGTTGAGGAGATTGGACACAGATTGTACAACAAGTGATGAATGGAGTTGAGGACAAATGCTCTGGTACAAAGGAAAAAAGAAAGGAAGGGACTTGATAGTTAGAGGGAGAAGGGGAGATTAGATTGAAGAAATGGTCCTGGACCCTAGTATGGAGAGAGTCTGTTCTGGACCTTAAGGGAGAATAGTAAATGCATCCCTGGCCTTGGGAGCTCTCAGTATAAGACTGAAAGTTCTGCTTGGCCGGTGTGACTCAGCAGTTGAGCATCCACCCATGAATTAGGAGGTCACAATTTGATTCCCAGTAGGGGTAGGGTTGTGGGCTTGATCTCCAATAGGGGCGTGCAGGAGACAGCTGATTGATGATTCTCTCTCATCACTGATGTTTCTATCCCTCTACCTCTCCCTTCCTCTCTCTGAAATCAATTAAAAAAAAAAAGTTCTGCCTTCTGTGATGGTCATAGCAGTGGTTTGCAAACTTGAGTGTGCTGGGAGTCTTCTAGAGAATTTGTTAAAAATTCAGACTTCCAGCCTGATTGGAATGGCTCAGTTGGTTGGAGCATCATCCTGTATACAAAAAAGGTTGCAGGTTCTATTTCCAGTCAGGGCACACACCTGGGTTGCGGGTTCAATCCCTAATCAGAACACACATGGAATCGATGTTTCTCTCTCACATCAATGCTACTCTCTTTCTCTCCCTGTCCCTCTCTCTCTCTTCCTTCCTCTCTCTAAGCAGGTCCTTGAGTGAGGATTAAAAAAAAAATTCAGATTTCCAGATCCATTCCCAGTAATTTTAATCCAGATTGATGGTTCCATATGGGAATATGGTTTTAGTAGCATTCAGATGTTTGAGAAACACCACTGTGACTCTCTATCTCTCTCCCTTCCTCTCTGTAAAAAATCAATAAAATATATTTAAAAAAAAAAAAAAAAAAAAAGAGCAGACTTAGGAAGAGGGGGATGATCATAATCTGCAGATAGAAAACACTCCAGGTGATCTGTGGAGGAGGTGAAAGAAGCGAGACCTGTGCCTAGTGCTTCTGACCTACCATCCCCTGCTCTCCCCAGCTCCCTGAAGTGCACACCAACAGCTGTGACAACATCTCCCAGTTCTCTGTGGACAGCATCACCAGCCAGGAGAGCAAGGAGCCTGTGTTCATTGCAGCAGGGGACATCCGGTATGGCCAGACCACACTGCCTCTCATTTTTCATCCCTCTTTAAGGCTCTGCCTGTCTCTTTCTCCTCTTCTGTCAGCCTGTGTCTTTCCCTTTCCTCTCTCTTTACTCTGTCCTTGTTCTGAGGCCACCAAACTTGAGGCAGTGAAGGGGCAGGTGGAGAAATTACTAGGCTACTACAGAAAGAAATTAAATGTTAAAAGGACTCCAAAGAGATGAAAGCAGCAGAGGGAGGAATTAAAGCAGCGTTTCTCAGAGTGGGTCCAAGGATTCACATGTCAGAATCGGTAGAGATCTTGTTGAAAATGCAGATGCTGGAGCCACAGCTGTTTTGAACCAGAATCTTGGTAGAGGAATGGGAGGGCCTGGTGATCATCATGATTCCAAACCATCAGGTTAGCAAAAAGGTATCAGTGGCATGTGTCCTCCACGAGTCTCTCAGCCCAGGTTTCTCTCTGTGCCTAGAATCAAGGAAATAGTGCAGGCAGTGCTGCCACAGACAGGGACATGAGGCTCTGGGGTAACTCCTCCAAGCAAATGATACCATTTCTTCCTGCTAGACGGCGCCTTTCGGAGCAGCTGGCTCACACCCCCACAGCCTTCAAACGAGACCCAGAAGACCCTTCTGCAGTTGCTCTCAAAGAGCCCTGGCAGGAGAAAGTGCGGTGAGTTGGGTGGGAGGCAGGTGTCTCTAGACCTCTCAAAGCTTGGAGACAACTGCAGGAACTCACTGCACCATCCCAGTGTCCACTGGGCTCCCCCCAAATCCATCATGCCCCCAGGCAGCCCCAGTCCTTGCCTTGTGGGGAGTTGGATTTGGATTTTTGGTAGAAGCTGTGTCTCTGTCATCACCTCTTGACACCTTTTGCTTCTCTTTATGCAGGCGGATCAGAGAGGGCTCTCCCTATGGCCATCTCCCCAATTGGCGGCTCCTGTCAGTCATTGTCAAGTGCGGGGATGATCTTCGGCAGGAGCTGCTGGCCTTCCAGGTGCTGAAACAGCTGCAGGTAAGACAGGGAGAAGGAAGGGGACTCAGCTCACTGCAGCCCACCTGAGGGGACCACACAGGTTGTTCAAAGGAACTCTGCTGAGGACAGCTTCCTGCTCAGGTCTAAACTGGATGTAGATTAAACTAAAGCTGGTGCTTTCTTCCCTATTTTACTCCCCATGCAAGTATAGCCACAGAACACAGCTCCACAGCAACCTCTTGTGGCCCTTTTGTGATTTGCACCCGTTCTGATTCCCGAACTTCAGGGTGCTGGCTTTGTCCTTTAGTCAGAAACTCCCAAGTGAAAAACTCATAGCCACAGGCAGCAGTATGGTGATTGCCAGAGAGAAAGAGGGATGGGCGGAGGTAGAAGAGGTTAAAGGGGGATAAATTATGATGGAAGGAGACTTGACTTTGGGTGTGAACACACAGTACAATATACAGTTGATATATTACGGAATTACACCTGAAACCTATATAATTTTATAAACCATTGTCCCAGACTTGGTGGCCTTTCAGTCCATCAAGTGAGTAAAACCCATTGAGGATAAGGGAGTTTTTAAAGAAAACCTATATAATTTTATTAACCAATAAATTCAATAAAATGAATAAATAAAAATTCCCATCTGGTCTTCGTAAATGGGTTGCAGTGTGCTGAGATGTCAGTCCCCTGAGCCTCTGGGTTGGTCACCTGCCAGCAGCTTCACCTGTTTAATCCAGTTCTTTATACAAATATTTTCATTTTCTCGAAAAGCTTTCTGTGGACCTAAATCCTTTTCCCTGTTCCTTGAATTTGAATTAATAGCTCCCACTCTCGCTGCTTGGGTGGTTTCCTGTTCTGCCTTCTGGGGACTATCTACCCATGAGTTGCCTTTCGCCATATACCTCCCTGTGTCTTGTCAGAACCTGGATTTTCTTTAAAAACTCCCTGGTCCTCAGTGGGTTTTACTCACTTGATGGACTAGAATCCAAGGCCACCAGGGCTGGGAACTATCCAAGGTTAGGGATAGAGGGCTTTTCGCCCCTCCCCCAACTTGAATGAAAGATGATGGTCCTGTGTCTCCTCACAGTCCATTTGGGAACAGGAGCGAGTGCCGCTGTGGATCAAGCCATACAAGATTCTTGTGATTTCGGCTGACAGTGGCATGATTGAACCAGTGGTCAACGCTGTGTCCATCCACCAGGTGAAGAAACAGTCACAGCTCTCCTTGCTCGATTACTTCCTTCAGGAGCATGGCAGTTACACCACTGAGGCATTCCTCAGTGCCCAGCGCAATTTCGTGCAAAGTTGCGCTGGCTACTGCTTGGTCTGCTACCTGCTGCAAGTCAAGGACAGGTAGGTAAATTCCTGACCCTCATCCTAACCTTTTTTCCAGGGTTATCTCTGTCCCTTCACGTGTAGTTTTCGTATACTCACCACCACCTTCCACTGCCGAGACGTAAAAGATGAGACAAACAACATGTTTTAAGCAGAGACAGACATGTTCACGTGCCATTAAGCCAAAGAGACAGACTGACAAGTACTAGGGTAAAGGAGCGAGATATGAAGGATTTATGGGGAGAAGCAAGGGTTTGAATGAGCAGGCTCTTAAAGGATGAAGAAGAACGAGGGCAGAGGAAGCTGTGGGGGAAGGACACAGAGTTCCAGAGGAATAAGTCAGTGTGAGTAGCACTTGGGCTCCTGGCTCTGACCGGGGAGCTCAGTTGGTTAGAGTGTTGTCCCAATACTCCAAGGTTGTGGGTTCGATCCCCAGTCAGAGCATATACAAGAATCAACCAATGAATCCTCTCTCTCCCCACCCCCTTTCTCTCCCTCTTCTCTCTCTAGAATCAATAAATAACAAAAATTATAAATTTTAAGAAAAGTTTGGGCTCTGCGGCCTGGCAGAATAGTAGGCAGCAATGTCAGACAGGTGAGCAGAGGCCAGACTAGAAGCACCTGCACAGTGAGGCTGAGGGATTGTACTTGGCAGGTGAGGAATGACATGACCCAGTCTTTGTTTACTGAGTGCACCCTGTGGCACTGAGTGAGGTTGGGTCCAGTTAGGCCTTTAAGCAACAAAGCAGGAGGTAATGAGTCCTGACCCGAGGGAGGTGGTGGTGACTGAGAGCAGAAAGGAAAAGATAGATATGAGAGGCATGGTGGAGACAGAGTTGAAACTCCCAACCCTGAAATCTCCTTTTATTCCAACATACAATTTTCAAAACGTTTAAGTATTTATTGCTTTCCCCAGAGCTGCCATTTCCAATATCACATGACCGTTCTGAAGCCCAGCTTCCCACATAGGTGAACACAGCGTACAAAAATAATTCCACCCAGACGTGACTCAGGGTCTGCATCCTGAATGCTCCTGTGAGTTGCACCTCCCGGGCATGGGCAGCTGCCCTAGGAAGGCAGAAATACAGTGGCCTGAGCTTTCAGAGCTCCCGCACATGGTAGCACTTCAGGATCTAGCCAGCAGAGCAGCTTGTCAGAAAGCTAGCATCTATTACTAGTAAGTGCATGCTCGGTCTGACGTGCTTTATTGAAACCAGCTGAAAACACTGTCAGACAGGTGTTTCCTATGAGGGGACTGGCGGTCAGAGCTTTCAGAACCTGCGCTCACTCCATCTGGTCAGCCCTACAAATGAGTCCCGTGGAGGCTTTACATTTGAGGGCTGAAGGAACATGTAATTGTTTATAAGGAATTTGTTTACCAGCTTTAGACCAGTGGTTCTCAACCTTAGCTGCACATTAGAATCACCTGGGAATCTTTTTAAAATCCTGATTTCTGGGCCTCATCCTCCGGAAATTCTGCTTCTTTGTTATGGGGTGGGGCCACAACATTAGTAACTTTAGACTGTCCCTAAGAGTCAGGGTTTTGAATCGAGGGCACAGCCTAGAACTGAGCCGCAGGTTTGAATAAATGGGGGCAGGGAAGCAGGTGCTGGTCAGGCCTGTGGCTTTCCTTCAGGAAGATATTTGGAAGGTCAGAGTTCATCCTTTAAAAAAGGGGGAGAGGGGAACAGGCAGCTGAGAAACCTTTAATAGTAACTCAAAAAAGAATAGATGTAGTCAAGCCCTGAATGGAATCAGCCAGTGGAAGGAACTGGCAACACTGCCCAGGGCTCCGCAGTGGAAGGTTAGGATCTTTAACTGCTTCAGAATGCGGACCCAGCTATCTCCCGCTGTTAGAGAGCCCCTCACTGCTCGGGACCTTCTCTCGAGGTGTTTCCTCACCTGTAAAATGAGAGGTGGGGCTAAGACAGTGAGAATCTTTTTGGCGCTTAAGAGTGTGCCTTTGTGGCTAAATTTGTAGTGCTTCCCAGAGTAGAAAGGACTCAGGTGGGACTGGCTCTCTTTCTGTCCCTCCGTTTTGGCCACTCAGACCAACCCCGGAGAAGGTGGCCTCAGACCTGGAGCTCAGCCTAACAAAGCCTCTGTTGACACTGAGGCTGGTTATCCTGAATGGGCCAGGCCTCACATGCTTAGCATGTTCATTGTTCCTCCTCCTGCTGGTTATTCATGTCGGGGTCACAGACCTGGACTCATCTTTACTCTCTTCTTCCTGCAGCTGGCTCATCATTTCTTACTGGGATGACTTATCAGGTAGTTAGAACTCACCCTTGAAGCCCCCACATTATTTTACATTTAAACTCTTCCCAGCCTGCCACTCCCTTCTGGTGGGGCTCACAGGTAAAAAGGTTCTGACTGAGGCCCCTGAGCCAACTGCTTGGCCTGTGACAGCTGGTGGGAGCCTCAGAGGCTTTCTTCCCTTGCTTCTGGGTTTTCTACTAGGTTGGGATCAGTTTGGGTGATAGAATTACAATCTTAAACTATTAAGTTGTCAATAAAAGCGATTTCAGACCCCACAGCCTGTTAGCAGCTTCCGTGCCCGATTTCCCGTTTCTGTTGCTGCTTTAGGTCGCAGGAGGTTGGACTGAGTTACAGGCAGCAGGAAACATGGCAGGGGACTTCCCCGCCCAGTGTCATGTGGCCAGTGTTTCAGCTTGAGGCTGCCACCTCACACTGACTTATACTGCCTCTTCCTCTCCTTTGCTCTCCTCAGACACAATGGGAACATCCTTTTGGACGCAGAGGGCCACATCATCCACATTGACTTCGGTTTCATCCTGTCCAGCTCTCCCCGAAACCTGGGCTTTGAGACGTCAGCCTTTAAGCTGACCACAGAGTTTGTGGACGTGAGTCAGGAAGGAGAGGTGCCTCACTGTGTTCTTTCTCTGTCATGGGAGGGGGAGCTAGTGGGCTCCCCTCAAATTACGGACAAACAGAACAGAAATGGCAGTAAGTCAGGGTGAGGCTGGTGTCCTGGGAGGCTTCCTGCCTGCTGAGAGAGTTGGGAAGTAGTGGGGTTTGGCATGTTTGCCCTAATGGAGGGAGTTCTGGCTGGGGGTACGCTGAGCCCTTATACCCACAACTTTCTCCTCCCCTCACAGGTCATGGGCGGCCTGGATGGTGACATGTTCAACTACTACAAGATGCTGATGCTGCAGGGGCTGATTGCTGCTCGGAAACACATGGACAAGGTGGTGCAGATCGTGGAGATCATGCAGCAAGGTGGGGCTGGGGCGAGGCAGGGGTGGGGGCAGGGCTGTGCCCAGCATGGAATTTCTAGGAAGTACATTCTGCCTCACACCAGGCGGGCAGGGGTTCCCAGCTCTGACCCAGCGCCGTTTCTCCTTCGGGACATGCCTCCTGACAGAGCTAGGTCCTGGGGATGGACGGGTGGAGGCCCCAGAAACTGCCTCCTCGGAGAGAACAGTCTCAGCTCCAGCCTCTTGGTCCCTCCCACCACTCAGCTCTTCACCAGCTCAGGTGTTTCCAGTCACCACTTTCCTCCCCGCTGGGCTTTGACCTCCAATTGCCCTGTCCTCAGGCCCCTTCTTTGTCCTGATACTCATCCCTCCTGCTCTGAGTTGAGTGGTTCCTCACCTGTTATCCATCCTCACTGTCCTGTCCTCACTGTGTCATCTAGTCTTTTGTCCCTTCACTCCCAGCCTTCTGGGCCCTTGTCCTAACCCCACTCCTTAGGGGTGCAGTATACACCCATTCTGAGCAGCCAGTCTCCTCCTCCTCCTCCTCCTCCTCCTCCTCCCCACCCCACCCCACAGGTTGTCGCCGTTGCTCAGGAGCACCCCTGTCTGGCCCCATGACGACGGTGGCCCAGGTCATCTGTGAGTGTCAGACGTAGCATAGGCAGAGCCCTGCAAACCAGATAAGTGCCCAGCTCAGGGCCCATTCCCCAGGACCTTTTCCCAGCCTTCCTCTGGGTCCTAAGACTCTGCCCACTCAGCTATTACTGGGGGAGATGTGGTGTTGGGCCCCTGCCCTCCTCTACCCTCATGCCCTCACCTAGAGAGGGGTTTTGGAGCGTGGCATGAGGATGGGTGCGAGCAGAATTGCATCCACGTGCTCAGGGGTCTCTAAGGTCTTGCTGTGGCTGTTACCACTGGCCCTCCCTCCTTTCCGCCCATGACCCTCTGCCCTTCCTGCCCCCCAGGTTCTCAGCTCCCTTGCTTCCACGGCTCCAGCACCATCCGAAACCTCAAGGAGAGGTTCCACATGAGCATGACCGAGGAGCAACTGCAGCTGCTGGTGGAGCAGATGGTGGACGGCAGCATGCGGTCCATCACCACCAAGCTCTACGATGGCTTCCAGTACCTCACCAACGGCATCATGTGACACCCTCTCAGGCCCCAGCGCGGTGGGGCATTCAGGGGACCCTCCCTGGGAGAAACCCCAAACCAGGAAACCCCACCCACCCACCCACCCACGGGAAATGGAAGGCAAGAAATACAAAGGATCATGTGGTGACTGGAGAGCTTGCCAGGGGAGAGCCAGCTGTGGGGTCCAGGCTTGCTGGGGCTTCCCTGCCCCCTGCGGTGTCAGTATTACCACCTGAGGGACTCCAGGACTCACTGCCCCCCAGAGGAGAGAGGTGACAAATGTGAGGGCACTGGGCCTTTCTTCTCGCCAGGGTCCAAGAGGTTCTTTCCACAGGCCATCTTCTTAATCTGTTCTAGGTCCCAGGAAGGGGAAGAGTGGGTTCTTGGTACTTACAATTTGATCCTGTGGTTCGCCTTTGGCCATGCTGCTGCCTGACTGTTCCTCCCAGGGACTGACTCCTAGCCTGAGGTCCCCTGGGCAGGTGGGCTCTGGCACAGGGTCCTGCCCTTGCTGAGTCCCCACCACAGAGACCAGAAGGGTGATCACAAGCCCTCCCCTACAGAGGGAACTGGCCTAGCCACAGGGAATTCCTTGCCCTGATCCCTTCCCACATCCAGGGAAATAGCTCTCAATTTTTTAATTTTTGTTTGAAATAAAGTCCTTAGTTAGCCATGTGTCATTTCTGAGTTGTATTATTTGGGGAGTGGGGGTGAATGTAAGCGAATAGATGTACCACACAGAACAAGGTGGAGGAAGACTGCTTTTTCCCTACCTGTCTCCGTCAGTACCACTTTTTCCCAGAGAAAGGCCTCCCTAGATTTGACTCTCACCCCCCTCCGTCAAGTAAGTCTACATTGTCCAAGTCACATCAAAAAGAGCCTGAATGGGGATTAAACCACAAGCAGTTTTAATGGTCTGGGTTTCTCCTTCCCATCTCCCCCACTGTTAGTATTATTACTACAAGAATAAAGGATTCCTGAGAGCCTGTCCCCAACTCTCCCTGGGCCCCCTTGACAGGACTCATCCCTACCAACCCCCCTGGATTTCTGGGGGTGGGGGGAAAACAAGTGAAAGGCACTGTAGGGGTGGGGGGCTTGAGTGCCAGGGAATCTAAGGGGTGGTGCTAGGGCAGGGCCAGGCCTGAAGTCCGCCTGCAGGGGCTGTGGAGTGTGACTGCCGACACTGGTCTCTCCTTGGACCTGTCTAGCAGGCCTAGAAGTCCCGTCCTCCTGGTCCCATGCGGGCGGCAGCAGGAGCATAATTAGTGTTGGGCTAAGAAAGGGAGAATGGAGGGCCCCCTCTACTAGGATCCAAGGGCCAAACCCACAGTGGGGACTGCAAGTAACTATAATGCTCAAGTCTGTTGTCTCGGGGGGCCAGGGGGGAGGAGTTGAACAAAATGTGAATTATATGAAACTCCCCAGCCTGGGGACCAGGCAGCAGCAGTGACCCAGGCTCCCAGGGAAGAGGGAGGGGGCCAGTCAGTCCAGGTCTGGGGCTAGTTGTCCCCACTGACGCCTTGCCGAGCCCTGATGAACGCCATGCCGTGTGTGCGGAAATGGGTCTTGAGGTTGAGAGGGCTGTCACAATTCTTGCCACAGACTTTACAGGTCAGTGGACCTGCAGAAGCAGGCAAGGGTGAATCTGCACCCTCTGGATCAGACCTCAATTGAGGGGGCGCCTCTTCCTCCCCATCCCCCACACCCAGGGCACTGGCACTACCCACACCCCGTTTCTTCTTGTGGCTGATGAAGCGGTGCCGGCTCAGGGAGCCAGGGGAGGCAAAGCATAAGCCACAGTCGAGGCACTGCTGGGTCCCACCATCCACCCTCAGCCCCACCATGAGGCTCTGCTCCACTGAGCCCCCACTCCGGTAGCGCAGGGGGCCTCCCGACCCGGGTCCACCCCTGGGGGACTTGGCTGGAGGTGTGGTGCTGTCAGGCTCCTCACTGCAAGAGTCAGAGGACTGCCGACGCTTCCGTCCTGGCCCCTGGAGAAGATAGTGAAGAACTGGGCCTCCCCATCACCCCAGTGACCCTGGCACCCCCACCTAGCTTGCGGAGGCCAGTCTGTAACTCTGCAGTTCCCACACCTCTAACCCAGCAGGGGGGCTTACCTGGGCTCTGGCACCGGCGCCCCGAACCACAACACTCCCCCGGCCAGGAGACTGGTCCCCGAGCGGCAAGCCGTGCCGCACCTGGACGTGTTTCTCCAGGATGAGGCGGCTGCTGAAGGTGCGTTTTCCTTCCGTGCAATACCTAGAGGGGAGAGTGCGCGGGTGGGTGCCAAGGGCACAGCCCAAAGACCAAGGCCAGTGGCTCGAGAGGAGGAGGACTACAGAGCTTCAACCCTTAGTCACGTGCACAGAGGCAGCTGGGAAAATGCTTTGGGGGACCGGGAAGGGGCAGGGAATGGGAGGGGTCACCTGATGGGCAGAATCAGGAAGGGGTAAGAAGAAAAGGGTTACCTGCATGGGTAAACTCGCTTGATACCCTCATGATTGACCCTGACGTGGCGCCTCAGGCTGGGCGCAGAACAGAAGGATCGCTCACACAGGCGACAGGGAAACTTTTTCACTGACTGGAGAGCAGGGAGAGGAACCTCAGAGCCAGGCTTGCAGGACCGAGCCCCACTGCCACACAGGACAACCCCAAGGCTGCCCTTCCAGCCCGTCCTGCTCACCTTGCCATGCTCCTTCTTCATGTGAGCCACATACTCATCCCGCTCCGGGAACCAGGAGTGACAGAGGCCACAGGTCCAGCCTCCAGGGCCCCCGCCCCCACCCTTGGTGCCTTTGTTCCCTAGATCCCGCCGGGGCCGTTTGGGTGAACAAGGAGGCTCTGGGGAGCTGGGTGGGTCCTCTTCTGTAGAGGAAGACAGCTCCTCTATAGGGGGAGCTGCTCCTCCTGGAGACACAGCCAGCTCCTCAGGCTCAGCTTTAGGGCTCGGAAGAGGATCCCCGGCCCCTTTCCCAGCAATCTCCTCTCCCGAGCGACCAGACTGATGGGTGTTCTGTGAGAGGGAGACAAGGGGGATGGTGGCTGTGGGGAGAGCTTGGCTTTGCCACAGTCCTTGTTCTCCCCTCCCCCTCTTCCTGAAGGTTATGTGACCCTTGCACCAGGTCAACACAGCCGAGCAACCCCACATCAGCCCTTGACGCCTTTACCTTGAGATGATCCAGCATGGTCCTTTTTTGGGCAAAAAGCAGAGGACAAGACGGGCACTTGAAGACACTGACGCGCTGGGGCAGCAAGTGCTGGTCGAAGTGTGAGGAGAGGAGGGGCTTGTGAGTGAAGACCGTGTCACACATGGCGCACTTGTAGATCATCCTGTGCAGGCGGAGAGGACAGTGCAGACACCTGCCCCTTCAGGGCCCAACCCTCCCTGGCCCAGCCCTCGTCACCCCACCCCCGGTCTCACTTGGCCTGCTGCGTGGGGAAGCTGGGGTGCTGGGTGTAGAGGTGGGCGTTGGCGCTGGGTGCAGACTTGAAGGCCATGGGGCAGATGGGGCACTTGTGGAAAACCTCGCAGTGTGACGTCTGGATGTGGGACTTGATGGAGTTCACACCCCCAAACACCACTGCACAGCTGGGGCACCTTTAGGGAGGACAGGGGAGGCGTGGTGGTGAGGTGGGCCATCTCCATGCCCTCCCCACCCCACGCTCATCCTCGAGGACGGGGTGGACTTTGAGAAGCTAATCGGTGGTGAAGCCTGAGCCAGGTGGGGGCAGGAGGGAGCTGCAGAGACAATCCCCCGGGAGGCCCACTGAGGCAGAGCTGGAGCTGCAGAGGGGGCGCTGCTCTGTGTTGCCAGGACACCAGGGCCACGGGACTGAGCAGGAAAGATGGGGCTCTCTCGAGGCCATCTGAAAGGTTGGTGCTAGGAACCATGAGACCAGTAAGGGCATGAGGGAGTGTGGAGATACTATGGGAAGGAGAGGCACCTGTATCCTACACGGCGAGAGAAGTGCAGACAGGCCTCCCGGAGATGGGTCTGAAAATTCGCCTGCAGGAAGTTGCCCCCACACTCAGGGCAGACGTGGGGAGGTCGATTCTTATGCATGCGCTGGTGGGCACTGAAGCTGCAGCGATTGGGGAGCATCATGGGGCAGGTTGGGCACACCTGTCAAAAGGGTGAAACGAGGTGAGTCCGGGAGGAGAGGCTTGTCCCCCATTACTTCTCCTAACCAAGCCCCTCGCACCTTCCCACGTGCTATCCCCTGGCTGTCCCCTTTCCCAGGAAGGGCAGTGAAAGGCAACTCACATTGCTGGTGGCCCCAGGGGCAGGGGGCCCAAGCTGCTGGAAGTGGGCAGCCATGCCAGCCTTGTCCCGGCACTGCTCCTTGCACTCCAGGCAGCGAAAGCACGTGTAAGCAGAGGTGGCAGGGGCAGCAGGTGGCTCAGCCGAGAGCGGTAGCACAGGGGCCTCAGCAGCAACTGTAGAAATGGCGAAGGTGGCGATGGCCCCATCACCCTTGCCCAAGGCAGACAAGACTGGAGGTCCGAGGGCAGGTGGGACAGCCAGCAGGGGCGTGATGTCCGGCTGCCCCACCATCTGGTCCAGGGCTACAGGCCTCATGACCAGGTGTGAGCACTGCATGACCAGCCCCTTGTCCTTGTGCTCCCGGGCATGCAGGAGCAGGCTGCACTTGTTGAAGAAGACCAGGCGGCGGGCACAGTGGTTGCAGGTGACCTCGATGCGCATGCTCCGGCGGTCATAGTGCCGCGCCAGGCTCTTCTCCAGTGAGAAGGCATCCCCACACTCGAGGCAGCGGTAGCCCGTTGGAGGCAGGGCCAGCCCGGCCTCAGCAGGTGGACTCAGGTTCGGCCGGTAGGCAGGCAGCAGGTTCTTGCCGTTGAGGATCTTGTTGAAGGCCTCCACCAGGCTGGACTGGGTCCGTGAGATCACTGTGCCGCCCCCTGCACCTGGCACGGTGGTCGGCTTGGAAGGCTGCACTATCACCACCGAGGCACCGTTCACCTTCTGTCCCCCTATCCCCAGCCCTATCCGCCCCTCGACCTTGGGCAGGGCTTGGGGCACCAGTCCCAGCACATTCTTAGCAATTGTCTTAGGGCTGGTGGCAGTGCCCCCAGGCAGAACCACCGCTTTGCGGGCCACGCTGGCCGCCATCAGCATAGCAGTACTTGCGTTCTGGAAGGTGGCCACAGGCAGCACCGTGCCCTTCAGCCTCGTGCCATCACCCAATTGCACATTCACCACTTTTGGACTCTCAGGAGTCAGAACCGCAGAGGACAGCTTTAGGAGGTTAGCCTCGGCCAGAAAGGTCCCCTCGGCCAAGGGGGCAGGGGGGCCAGGGTCTGAAGGGACCCGGGTTACAGTCCTTGTGATATTCCCACAGGATGTCTTAATGGTCTTGATCCGCACCTTGAGGGGCCTGGAAGAGTTGGAGGAGGCAGGGGAGTCATTGCTGTCCTCGTCAGCAGCCTCAGCTCCACTAGAAGGGCTCTGGGGACTTGCTGGGGGAGACTTGTCCACTGGCCCCTGATCCTCCTCTTCTTCCTTTAGGGGCTGACAGCTGGGCACTTTGGGGGAGGCGAGAGGGCTCTGATGCCCTGGAGATTGCTTGAAGAAGGGCATCCCAGCAACCTGGGGGGTGAGGGGCTGGCAGGGATGCCTGCAGCCTCAGGGCTAGAGCCGGAGTCTAGCCGGGCT